TAAGTTTCATTTTTTTGTTAGAATCAAAAACAAAAATTTTATAATAGTCAAATACAACAAAAATTAAATTCTAATATAAAAGAAACACTTGATTTATATTTTACAACAATAAATAATACATATTTATCAACAGTTCATCAAATATTAAAATAGAAAATTAGTTTTGTTTTCAAATAAATAATTATAATCTTTATTTACAATAGTTATTAAATATGACAGTAATTCTATTATCTTTAATTGTTCGATTGAATTGTTTTAATTAACCGATTCTTTTTGTTAATCAATCAATTTAACAAATGAGAAAATCTCAACAAAACGCTCATAGCTCGCGACTTCAAGGGAAAAAGTTGTTCTATATACTGTATTTCGATGGAGTCTTACAGTTGGTCAAATATTTTCACTTAATATTCAAATCTATGAGCTTAATTTAATGCTTATTCGTGATATTTCATTACCTGAGCTTATATCGATACCAAAGCTTAAAGTGACATTTTCATTTATTAAAACCATACATGCAATTGATTGTTTGTTCTCCTTCGAGATAATAAGTAATGCAAAAGTTCTATATTAATTTTTCTTTTCACTCCTATACTACATGAGAATATTCTACACTCTTGAATCCTTTTTTTTCGTTAGGAACAACACAATGTCTACTATAAAACGGACAAAAATGTTTGATTCAAAATATTTATTAGAGACTAAAGAGGTTTGAGAATAGTTCGGATTAAAAACAAGTGCGTTTCAACTTCAGTTAAAATTAGAGATGAGAAGTGTACTTGTCCAGTTATTTTGTATTCAACTTTTGATGTTGTGAATTATATTATATGTGAATTTGACCAATGTGATTTAGGCTTTCTTATCATATCCGAATATTCGAATTACATAATTACAAACTTAACAGGAAACAATTTAAGTAAAAACTCAATTTTCCATTGACAATGTCCAATAACATTTCTCTTGAAAAGTCTAAACAAGACATTTCACCTTGTTTTATATGATGCACTTTTATAGAGAATTCAGTAACCTTCAATCAAATGTAAAATAGACGGTTTCTAATTACTAACTTGACTGTTGTCAGAATTCTTCATCTAAAAAGTCTAATGAAAACAAAAAGAATATGACCAAATTCCTTAGCAGGTGAAATTTTCTCTAAATTCAGGAAGTTTCTATAGCTCCTTAGTCTCTGATAAATATTGGGTACAAATTAAATGGTCAGTATTTTGTTATGAATGATCAGTAAAATTTGATCAGTATTAAATGCAAATGATCAGTAAAATAATTGATGATCAGCGACTATTGGATTTGGTCAGTAATTTAATCATTTTATCAGTATCTAAACTAAAATATCAGTAAAAAAATATGTTTAGTCAGTGAATCGTTGCATCTTTATCAGTATTCACCGTTCTGTAACACGCATCGATTATCACATATATGTTGACCTACTTATCGTCTTTGTTTCTTTCTGACCTAGTTTGTGAATATCATCACATCTATACGATATCTTACAGTACTACACACAAAAAAATTTTCATCGATTGATGTACCCCTAAAATCGTTTATCACTGAAAAATTAGCTTATCCACATAATCAACCTTGGTATAAACCTTTTTTTCGGTAAAAAACCCTTAAGAGTATTTCTCCCGTTGCAAATTGATATACCCTTTGAGTTTTTCTTCATTGATAAACTCTTTTTACTTTGTTCAAGCAGATATACCCACAAAAGTCAGGTTCATCGTGGAACGTACTCAACGCTATTTTTAAGATATATCTGTTTGAACAAAAGAAAAAAGGGTTTATTAATGAAGAAAAATCCGAAGGGTATATTAATTTGCAACGGGAGAAATATCCTTAAGGGTTTTTTACCGAGAAAAAGGTTTATACCAAGATTGATTATGTGGATAAACTAATTTTTCAGTGATAAACGATTTTAGGAGTACATCAATCGACGAAAATTTTTTTGAGTATAGATGAATATATAATCTTCAGCGATTGTTATTTTAATTTAACAAAGAACTAGTAGATTCATGATATCTTCCCTCGATCGTATTTCTACTTAGCCGTAAATAAATATTTCATTTTATGAATCGAATTCATATACATCATTGTAACTGACTGACTTTTAAATGGCAATAGCGATGGAGGTCATCGAAGTACCACCTTACGTTTCTGACGAAGAAGAAGATATGAATGCGAGTGTTCAAGTTGGACGTACGAAACGAACAAAAAAGAAACAACATACACAAATTAAAGAAATGGTGTTTAAGAATGCTGATGAAGCTGAACAAGCGGTAATTAATGAATGACAATGAACAATGAGGTGCTGGTATTTATTTGTTGTTCAATTCGTATAACGAAGAAGTTGTCTTATTCCGCGACAAATCTAAACATATTCATGATCTTATACGACAAAAATGTACAAGAATACCAGATGCCGTGAAAGTGGTTATCAAAGAATTGTATGAATTGAAATTGAAGCCTAAAGCTATTATCGAAGCATTATACGATCGTGGAATTGTTGCATTAAGTATTGGTCAATTGAATAATTACTTAAGAACATTGAAGACAAAAAGATTCGGTTCAAC